AGGAGAAAGAGCTGAGCACAACTCTGGCATAAGAGAGAGACAGCCCACAGAAGACCGGAACACTTGATCCTCTTGACTTTACTGAGATGCAACTAATGAGCAACAGATGGACTTTACCCAAGGAGTACATTTGGGGAAGGTAACAGTTTCCTCATATTTCTCATTCAGGAAGGACCAGGAAACTAAACAAGCTTTGGTTGACACCCTTAATTTTACTATTGTTTTCTCCTCTGCCTCAATTTTGACGGAACTGCTTTGGCCATGCATTCCATTACGCTTTACACAGTGTAACCATGGCTCAGCCTGAAACACTAAATAAAATATGTTCAAATTAGGAAACGTTATGGGCTTGAATATGTTGCTGCAGATCACTCTCTTGCTACCACTCAGCACAAAGGTACCAGTTTCCTTAGCAAAGCTCTGCAGCTCGCTGTAACACAGTGTCAGCACTTTCTATAAAAAGCACCATCAGATTTCACTTTTTACCTAATGAAGAAATAACTTCTATTAGCATGCTGTTGACAGCCCTTGTAATGATGCTGGTTTGCCCAACTTCCAGTTAAGGCTCTGTTTCTGACCAGCTAGCGAAGACGTACAAGGTGGCTGGCTGAACTCCCTTCACTGCACATTCGTCACCATCACTCTGTCAAGAGGAGCTTACTTTGTTAATCTTAAAGCAAGGAACTTCACCAGACTGAGCCAGTAACAAATCAAAGACTCAGGGAAGGATAGCAAGAAGGGGAAAAGGAAGGAAGGAAAGAAAAAGAAGACAGTAAAACAAAAAAACGCAGAAGGAAGAGCAAAACCGTAGGAGACAGGAGAGAGAAGCCGGAGGGACAGGAAATTTAAATTAGAGCTTTACCAGGAGCTTAGTACAGACACAAACCCACTCAATCTTTCATTTTTAACACACTGAGGTTAAAGGTTTGACATTCAGGTTACGTTTCTTTTGTTCTGAAATGGAAAGTTTGGATATGACCGTCAGCCTGCTCAGAAGAGCAACTGTTCAAGCAGGTAGAGGGACGTGTTCTTTATTGAAGTCAATACGACTCATCCGTTTAAATCCATCTTCCCTGTTTCTGGCTACGCTCAAGTAAAAAGTGTTTTATATTCTCACCTGAAGCCACTCTGCAGCCACATAATATTACCTAGAACAGGGTGTAAGGTTAAGTTAAGTTTTGCTGACAATAGATTACTTTTAACCACAGGCCCTTTTCTTTGGGCTGTACCTGATGCACTCATAGCTAGTTTCTCAAGTCCAGCAGATGGGAACATCTCTCTCCTTGTGCTTGAGGAAAAGCATTTCCTACAACTTGTTAGGGCTTTCCACCATCCTGGCGCACCTTAGGGCAATGAGACCCCAGTGTGCTCCAGGTAGGGCTAGAACTGAATGAGCTGAACTACTGCAAAGAAATGTCCTCTAAATAAAGACTTGGGTATAACACAGCACACAGAATTCAACTTCTAGGTTAAATCTGAGTCACTGCCTAGGTCTTTACAGCCCCCAGTGCATCAGAGCCTGGAGTTGAGTCTCCACCTGACCCAAGCCCCGTGCACCCGCTGCTGAGCTTCAGAGCTCTGCGCTGCAGGTAGTTCAGAGGAATGGCACTCACCCGCTGGACTTTGCTCTGTGTTGAAAGGCAACAAAGTTTTGACCTTGTCGCATTCAAGGCATGCAGCTGACTGTTTGCTTTAGAAAAGACATTTGAGGCAGGAATCCCTCCAAACTCTACCTTTCCCTCCTGACGACCCTTGCAAAGGAGCCTCTAATCTGGACCACATAGATAAGTGAGGAGAGGGACTCCATGTTAAAGCAAATAAGGTATATTCAAATGCAAATCCTGGACTGATTTCTAAAGAGAGTTCAGCGACTTTCTAGTTATCAGCAGACCATGAGAATTTGAACCCTCTAATCAGTCTGCTTTCAGGCCAAGTTTTGCAGCACTAAGAAGCATCCCATTACGCTAGGTCACTTTGCATTTGTGCATTTAGGAGCTTCAGCAAAAAGCCTTGCTTGCCCACTCTTGGCTGATTAAGGCTGTTGGCCTAAAGGCTGTGCAAGTCTACTGCTCTTAACTACCCCTTTTTATGGCTGAAAGCAAGTGACAGACTTGCTCTGAGGCACTCCTATATTAGGATTCATATCTCTCCATATTTCAGAACAGACAAGTAGTCCTTATTTAGTTCATGCAGGGGACTATCAGGGTCAGAGCAGAACTGGTACTAAGCGTCAGTTGCTTTCTCTGGATGGATCCCAGTGGCTTTGTACACAGGCAAAGCTGACAAGATCAGAAACTCAGCAAGAGAAACAAGCGAAAAAGCAGAATCAAGGTCTCTGCTGCAATAGACAGGATAAGATTGATGCAAAAGAGTAGTTCAAGTTATCTGTCAAAATCCTTCCGAGAAATACCCACTTACACAAAATTTACATATTTCATGATACACCGGGGACCTAGGCTTTGGGTTTTTTCAACTCTGCATTATTGCTGCTATTTAGGAGATGAAGCATCCACATCACTCCCAAGCTCCACAGCGCAAAAAGCACTGGCGCAGCTTGTACCGACACCACCTCTGTTTGGGCATACACTACACGCTCATCTTCTCAGTTTCTCTTGCCGGACGGTTCTTATTGGCACAACAAAACCTACTCGGTTGTTGCAAAAGATCAAGATACATCAGGCATCTGTCACCAGGAACAAGGGGAGCTGCATTTCCAAAGGCAAAGGCAAGGTCATTTACAGGGCAGCAGTGAGAACAGCTCCAAGGTGCTTCACATCCATCTTAAATACAAACTCCAGTCACCTGCTTGCACCGCAAGTCTGAGATCGGTGAGAAGCCCTGGGACCAACAGCCCCCAGCCGCAATGATGATGACTGACAATGCAGAATACATGAAGTTAGAGCTTCAGAGGTCTGCTTGCCACATTAAAGCATTTCCAAGCTTAATGGCAGAAGCTGCCAACCCATCAGCACACTGGTGCTGTAGTCTGGGGCACCCAAACCCCTCATCAAATGTCAGGTTTTGTTCCCGCTTATATTCAGGGAGTATTTCCATCATCTGACTACCTCTGGTTTTCTTTAATAAATACAGCATAACAGATAGCCTTTTACAATTTTTTGCCCAAAGTTCACTACCAAGGACAAGAGAAAAGTAAAGTAATCAGTACCACAAAACACCTTTTGTTACTAAGCCAGTAAACTAGAACTGCAAACACAGTTAACATTTCAAAAGGAGAGAGAAGAGCCAGCTGTTTCCTCTTCCCCCTTCTAGAGACGTCTGCAGGCAGGACAGGCAGCAAGGAGATTTTTAATGTTAGAATCAACATTTTAAAGACAAGAGCCATGTCAGAGAGCTTGAACACTGCTCCAATCTGCTGTACGGGCCCACACGCTAAAGCACAGGCTGTGGGAGACTTGGCTTTGGCAGTAATTCAGTACCACAACCTTTCTGTTAACAGCCCTACCCCTACAACCAGGTTATGGGTTTCATCTTAAAGGCTGCAAAATAGTGGGGTTTTGTGCATTGACCTCAAGAGTCATTTCTTTGGTATGAAGTAGCCTGTTCTCCCCAGGCTGAAAAAGATCAACGTCTTATGAAATCGTGGCAAACTCCATCACCAACTAGTTTGCTGCTGTCATCACATAAGCATGACTCTAGGTCAATAATTGGGGCAACTGGGCTCCTGCACGGCAAACCCGTGCCTCCAGAAATTAGGCAGCTCACCTGTCCTCAAAGTTATCTTTATCTGGGGATGTACAAAAGGGTTCTACAATTACCAAAAAACTGCATTTAAAAGCTGTAGTTTTAAAAAATAAAGGACCTGAAACAAAAGAGAAGGCAAGTTTTGTTTGGGGCATTTTTGCTTGGCCATTCAGAGAGCAGGAAACACTGAAATACCACAAACACATCTTCAAAAAACTCACATTATCCAGAACAAGTTCAAGAGCCCTAACATAGAATAAAGGCTGCAGGCTGGGAAATCAATGCATCTGAGCTGCACCACTCCTTACAAGAGCCAGATTTTTTATTTTATTTTTACAAGGCGCTCTAGCTGCCGTGGCTTTCCCACATCTCGCTCAGCCAGCTTCCCCAGACCTTCCCACATCACCATTCAGAGATTTGTGAACTGTGAGAAACAGATGTTCTCAAAGCATTTTGCTCCTATCCAAGCTAGAAAGACTAGAAAGGGAGGAAAAAAAAAAAAGAAATCTCATTTAAGCAAATATTTCTCCCCGCCCTATTGACCTACAGTCCCAGGGTGTTTCCTACCAGCAACGATAAAATGCATCCCGTCAGCGTTAGCCCTCTTCCCACCGCCC